TAATAGCTGATGAAACCAGCTATTGAAGAAAAGCACCCAAAAGCCTGACTAGAGCGCCTGATCCATACAGACATTGCGTGAGCCAGGTCAACTTATTGCAATGTTTCATTATGGCATGCGCTGGGCTCAGTGTGGGGGCATGCCAAGTTTAAAGTAAAGTGCCATTTTGGGGGAGGGAGGGGGTTTATGTCTGCAAGAAGCTTAAAAGAAGCTACTACTGAAGGTAGATGCAAAACTGGTTGGATATTTAAAGTCAAAAGAGAAGCCATCAATGACTCAATGCCAAATAAAAAAAAAAAAAGGTATGAGCTGAAGGAGGGTTCCCCAGGGATTTGTCCTGGGCCCAGTCTATTCAATATCTTTATTAAATGACATCAGAGAATGGAATCCATTACACAGATACTCAGTATGTGGATGACAATAAGATGGATGGGGGCTACAAAGACTTTAGAGACAAAATTAGGATGCAGAGAGAATCTTACCTGAAACAGGGGTTGGACTTTCTATGATTTTACTGGACTTTATAGTACATAGATTAAGATCCTGATAGAAATATCAATATTGCCAAAGAACTGCCAAACTGGTGGTCCCGCCAGTTTGTTCAACTCCAATCAGGATTCTTGCGGTTTTAAAATTACAAGATGTCTATGGTCACATTCTTATCTTCCCAAGAAGCCTTGGTCTTAAAGTCTCAGAGTCAGGCTATTTGTAAAAATACCAGAATGTCTTTTGGTTCAGCTGGCTTTGCAATAATCCCTTATATGAACCTCAAGTAAAATGAAGATGTTTATTAATCTTCTTAAAGATGTTTGGAAGATGTTTATCATTACCTTCTTACAATGAATTATTCTAGTTTCTTCTTGGCTTTCCAAGTAACTGGTCAGGCAGTTCTAGATTCTGGTACAGAAAGAGTTCCTGGTTTGTTGGGGAGGGACGTAGGGGATGGGAAGAAGGGGCATTGTTTTGTTTTTGTTTCTTTTACGGAAGTTAGAGAGAAAGAGTTGGAAAAAAAGATTCTCAGACATGGTAAATATGGAATCAGGGCGTTAGGGCTGATGTAAAGATAGTTATAATCATCGTGGCCTGTTTCTTCAAATCTTCTTTACCTCATTTACTAAATAGTTAAAGGGGAAAGCATAAAAAGGACCTTTAAATTCCATTTGAGGTTTGGAGATAACAGCCTACACTTTACAGTGATTCTCCATCACACATTACCTCCTTTGCTTTTACAATAGGACTTGGATGTAAATATGTTCATCATCAGACTTTCAACTCCAGCAGGAGTTATAAGGCACCAAAAGACAAGATTGTACTCCTTAAATTCAGCATTAAATTGCCACTGCTCCCTGCCACCAGATTTGCTGACCAGTGAGGAGCCATGTGGGCCAGATTCGGCTCACGGGCCAGGGGTTAAGCACCCATGATCCATATCACAAAACATCAGTTACTTGTATACAAGCTATTTTCAGAAATCATGTAAGTACACAGAACTCTTTGGCTCCATTGTCCATTTTATAATTTAATTGTATTCCACTGAACTGCACAGAAGCTGTTAATTTTCAAGGCTTCTAAAGCAACTTTCAGCAACATTTTCTGGTGGCAGGCAGGAACCATCCAGCTTTGGTCTGAGGCAGGCTGGCAGTACAATCTGGACACTGCCACTCCTCCCACCTGCCTGGCTGCAGTTAAGTAAAAGTCAAGCCCCTTGCTGAATTTAGCCTGTGGGTCATAGGTTGCCAACTCCTGTTCTAAAACAACCTTATGAAGAGGTCCTTTTTCATTTCAAGGCTGTTATAAGAGACATAAAGCACTCTAAGAAACAAGGTAATAAGCCTTAATAATGTGCAAAAAGTGTAGTATAGACTATTCCTGCAGCTACTTTTTACTTGACATTTTCAGTATGTTGGAAAATGGAGTGTAAAATATTACTTTGGTAGATAATTATCTTTTTTTTTGGTTGTGTGTGTCAGGTTGCTACATTAAGATGGTAACTGGTACAGTATTTAATGCCAATGAGAGACATGGCACGGTCATCTGCAGTCAGAGGTTAGGTCCCAATGTCTGCAGTGACCCTGCCATTTGCATGTACCCAATAACACAGCTTCTGGGTCCCCCAAAGGAGCAAATGTTTAATATGACATACAGCCTATAGTGCTGCATTTAGAAAGCTTGATTCAAATATCAGATGTCCCTCTCCCCCACCAACCCCCAATTTTCACTTTATATAGAAAATACTGCAGCTTGGACTTCAGCATATCTACATGTTTTCAGCGAGCATAAGTTTTGGTTTTAAATGTTTTAAAAATAAATCTGAACTATTTTTAGAAAAATGTGTTAGCAACAAAAGTATTAGTTTTTAATTTTAAAAAAATCAAGTCTGGGTACAAATAGGTCTTTATGAGAGGGAGTGGAAAGCCCCTATCATTCTCAGAAGCCATGTGAGAAAAATTACAAAGCATTTTCCTCATTTTGTATGCTACTCATTAAAGATAAAGGGACTGTGAAGTAAATCCCCATTTATGCTCAATTTTATGAAGCTTATCTGAAACTGGGGGCTTCTATACATGTGCAGGGCAGTTGCTCTTACACACTGTAATTACAGTGCATTGGAGCAGACTCAGTTAAAGTCTGCTGGAACGTGGTAATTCCCATGCTCCGGCAGACTCCAGCGTCACATGTATCAATGCCCCCACACTGGAAAATGGTGGCAGGATGCTTTCAACTAATTTGATTAGCTTTAGTTCAAAGCGCCCCACCACCATTTTTCAGCATGGGGACACTGATATACATGATGCTCCGGGCGCTTTTAATTAGCGCGGCTCTTGGAGCTAAACTAATTAAAGCGCCCAACCTCCTGGAGCACATCTATAAACACCCTGAGGTTTCTCACTCAGCTCAATTAAAGACTTATCATTCTCTTTAGGAAACGGGGAGGTGAGGTTCTCTCATGAGAGGTCTTAAAAAAAATTGTGCTTCTCTTTAGAAAGAACTGTAGCCAATATCCTTCACCATACTCTAGATCCAACCTTTTAGACAAGAGACCCTATGTGGAAAAGAGCATGCCACCAGTGTAGTTGAAGAGAGATTCTATAAGCAGGTATACAGAATTTGTCTTGTAGGAAAAGAGCAGTTGTTTTATGTCATCCTATGGGAGTCCTGGAGACGGGGAGGGTGGAGAAGCTAATCTGCCAGGAAATACAATATTGTAGCAGAAAGCCCCCTTTGTACATTTGCCTTCTGGACATTGATACAACAGAAGCCCCTTCTTGCCATCACCCTCCTTCCCCCATTTTGTGCATTTCTTTTTCTTTTTAAGTATTGGCAGAGACATAGCACACTCACTGCATGGGTGTGGCAAGGCTCAGAACAAACCAGAAAACTGAAGTGGCTTTCTGTAGGAGAAAACTAGAAACTGTATCTACATATCAATTAAGCTCAGTGTCACTACAGAAAACAAAAGAACTAAAATATCCACTTCAAAGACTGTAAATATATCCTGGTGCTAATAACTCACTTACTGTCCCCAGTTACCTTTGATCTTCACTATCTCACACTGCATTTTTATACTTCAACTGTCTTATCTTTACCATGGCATTTTATATTTTATACTTTTAAACCCTTAACAAATGTACTCCTTGTAAAATGAAGTTACACCCTGAAACAATGTTAAAAACTGAATTGAAATTGTAATTGTAAAGTGATAAAATCTGCTATATTGGACGGATGCATTATTGAGTGAATGCGAGTATATGGTGATCAGTGGGTAATTAAATGGCAACAGCCTAGCCAAAGGAACTTACCATTACAAAACTTTACAAGCCATTTTAAGCTAATCAAGCCAAGGAACTGATTCCTGGAACTGAGCATCCACTCTATGACTAGTCCTTTAACCCATGACACAATACAGCCATTAAGTCAATAAGTCAAGGGTGGACTCTCAAAACTTCAGATACCAGCAGGCAGAGACCCCTGTGACTAACAGCTGTCGTGTACTACTCAAAATCTACGTGGGACGGCAACCTTCGGATTGGGCAGCCAAGATGATACTGGTGGATCACACCAGTCTGCCAGAAAGGGATAAACGGCAGTGAAGTATGACCCTCAGTGGTGCCTTTTCATCCAAAACCTGACCTACTGAGACAGAAGGACAAGCAGGCAACCCCCTTCTGGAGAAGACTTGAAGGAAGCTGACCATCAACAGCAGACTCCAGGGCCTCAGACAGTTAGATATACTGACACCAGTGCTCTCACAATCACTACAGCAGCTACTATACAAGATACTACATGGGTTTAAATGACATGGGTTTGAATGAGTGAGTACATGTATGTGTGTGCGCTAAGGTGACCAGTACCACTCATAACTCAAAGTCTGCATTTATGATTTTATTGGTAACTTTACATCCTGTCCAATAAGCTAGAATTTATGATGATCCCGAGAGTTGGTCCTCTGTAGCCAAAAATATGAAGCATTTCACTCAGCACCACCTACTAATAATTTCAGCCCAAAAGGTTAACGTTTGGCAAAGTTACAAACAACTTAAGACAGGATGCTTGGCAGTCTCACTACAACAAAGTGTTATCAGTCCTCCCTATAAACCACAACTTTGGAACTATACCCACAATTCTTGCATGTAGTTACTAGCTGGTGGTTAGTTACAAGTAGCTTAAAAAATACTCATGCCTTCATCCGAGACTCCCAAGCGATGTGGCCCAGGTCAAGGAAAGCTCTTACTGAAATGTATTTACAGAAGAGACATTAAGAACACAGATTTACAAGTCAGACTCAGAAAGTATGTACTGAATCCAGCCAGCTCCCAGGCAAATGCTGCAAACCTGTAAGGGTTTAACACTATTGACATTTCATAATAGAAAATAATGATGTTCCAGTGAGTAAAGATAGCTTTACAACTACAACGGACAGAAAAACTGACGGCTGGTCAAGTTCTCTGTATTATCATTTAACTAATTTAGCAGAGTATGTTACACCTGTAAAACCTTACCCAGACTTGTTGTCATGGATTCCAGATCTGCTAAAAACCCTGGAATTTGCTGGAGCTGTTCCTGCAGTTCTATCAGACTACTCCTCTTCTTCTCCCAGTGTGCAGAAAGCATCACAACTTCACTATCAACCAGCTGCAATAATTAAAACCAGTAATAACTAAGTTTTTATTTAGTTTCAAAATTATCATCCATTAGTTTATGAAGTTTATGATCATTTTGACTGATTTTTAGAATCCATGCACCCATGGTCCTAATTTCTTTGTGTAGGCATTATACCACATTACAATATGTAGACTTTACCATTTATGAAACACTTATTTCTACTTATTTTATGGATACATTTACAAAATAGCTCCTTGCCCCAGTTTTAAATGACAATAATAAGAGTACTGTCACGCTGAAACTTAAGGTCCAAGAACTCCAAATCCACGTTTGGTTCTTCCAACAAGGAAGTCTTAACATTCTAGAAATTAAGATAAAAAAGTGCCGGGGGGGGCGGGCCAGGGAGGGAGCTTTAAGGGAATCGTTCTATACATAGCAAAGAAAAAGGGTACAAAAACTGTCCAAAAGTCATCATATTGCCTTTAAAATACAAGAATAGCATATAACAGGAGCGCTTAACTATTGGCCCACAGGGCTTCCCAAGGGTACAGAAATTTGGCAGAGGGAAAGTGGTGGCAGCATTAAGTGCCACACCCCTAGAAGCCATTATACTCCTCTCCCACTATAAAAATTTCAAGACCCCTGGAGAATCCCTTGGGCCAAATGACATAGTCCAGCATGCATGGGGTCAGATCCATGGCCAGATCTGGGCACACTGGGTTGGATCTGGCACACAGGTGGCTCTGTGGCAGGATCTGGGTGTGCAGGATCAGGCCAATGTATGGCTGGATTGGGTCCACAAACCAATCCAACGCACCAACCCCATGAGGGATCCAGCCCGCAAACCAAACTATGCCACTCATCTGGCCCACAGAACCAGAAGTTTGTGTGCCACTAGTATACAATGATATTCATAACCATGGAATTTCAGAACTGGATATACAGCTGTACCTGGAGGGGAACTGTTATTAAAGAATAAATTTTACATTAAAAGTATAAATTCTGAATTAAACAACTCTTTTAGCTCCATATACCTAAGGGAAAAAACACATTATGGCAAGCTTTCAACATAGAAAACACTTTTCTTCCTATATACCTATTCTGAGGATAATATGACAACCTTCAAACCTGACAGCTCAAATAAGTGGTCTCATTTTAATTCTGAAACGGCTTTGACACTGTTCATGGACACATCTTGACCCATATAGTTCATGGATAAATATTTCCTTTATTTACTTTGTATGTAATGTGTTCACTTTAAAAAAGAAGCATTTTAAAGAAAAAGAAGAGGTGCAATCCACTAAAACTTATTCAGATAAAAAACTGCCTCTGCAGTGCCTGATATATGCAAAGGAAAGATTGGAAAGTATAAAACTAAAACCTGTCAAACTCTAATTCTAAAGATATCTGGTGAACTTCAGTATCTGAGAATGGACAAAGGCATTAAGATGATGGGTAAAAAATATTAAATATGAAGTTTGCTATTTTAAGGCAGATTTTAGTTTTTTGTTTTTTTTCAAAAGACACACAACTTCCAGTTTGCAAGGTAAAGCTCCAACCTTATTTTAATCCTTTACGTTGCAAAAATAGTTGAATGTTTTATAGTGGATTTTGTGTTTTAAGTGTCAGGTAAACCTGTACCAGAAGCTTGTTTGATATACACTTTACTGCCTACAACCTATTTTATTAAAACGCAGCATTACAAATGGATAACTATTCCATAAAGGTTCAATGTAGTTTACTAAAATCAACTGTAACCTTTACCAGTGGTTATTGGAGATGATCATCAAGTTATTTTAATGCAAGGGTTTTGGAGATTTGTTTTTTAAATTTGCTTTCAGTAACTGAGGACAATAATCTAGGTTAAGGGTCAGCAACCTATGGCCTGAGGGCTAGATATGGAGCAGGGATCAGGGGCTTCAGAGGCAGGCATTTCTCCCTGTGTTACCATGGGTAAAAGCACTGCCAGAGGCTGGGTCCTAGCACCCTTCCACCCACCTGAGCCAAACTGAGTCAAATCTGGCTCATAACCTTAAAAAATTTGCTGACCACTGGTCTAGGGAAAACAGAGTCATACAGTAACTTGTACCAGCTTCAGCAATGCCACCTCCATATTGATGGAACTACCAACAGCATATCTACAGTATCAAAAGCAGCTGGCCCAGAATGCTTGTCAGGTTGACTTGAACAATTATTTTACTTCCTTTCAAAAATGATGGAAGTTGAAATGCTGGGAAATAAGTCTGCGACATTGCAAGATACACAAGGCCTTGTCTGCAGAAACCCTGAAGAATGGGAACCTATTTGATAAAGTGACCATGACTAGATGAAAGGCATATCATCATCCACATGAAAGAAAGGGCACTGCCAACAGGATGCTTTCAACTGAGCAATTAATTTCCCTCTTGAATCTGAAGAGCCTCACTTTTGGGTACTGTAAGAGAAACTGGACATACTAAAAGACCCATATGTGCGATAACTTTAACAAGATTTTAGAAAACCTCTTTGAAGAGACATTCAAAGATAGAAGAAGTTGAAACAATTGCAAGGGTTAAAAATATACTTATGTCAACCGTCTTCTGATTCTCACTAGAGATATATAATTCTGTAATTTTGTAAATAGCATTATATGTATGTGAAAACTGATAATATATGAAGAATGTTCACTAATTAGGAGCAAAGGCAACACATGTAAATAATCCATCTTTACTGATCAGTCTATACATTTTGAAATGACAAATTTGATTTGAGCAGTTTTAAAGGAAAGTGGGGGAATGGATGCATCCATCAGTGAGAAAATTCTAACATGCTTTCAAGAATAAACTGTACTTAAAGATGTACTTTAAGATCAGCACCCCAACAGCAATAACTTGACAAGATAAATAAACCCAAACTCAAAGTGAATCACATAAAACATTTCAGACACAGCCTAAATGCACAAGATAACCTCCACTCTAACAAGAATATTCCATTCCATGTTTTGACTGCCATATGAATCTGAATCTTGTTCCCTGCAGGCAAACATATACCACACAAGATGTCTTTGAAGAAAACCAATGCATTCGTCTAGTATAACTTACACTTCCTGGAAAACATGCAGATATATACAGAAGTGCAATTTTTAATATGGCTGAAACAATCATTCCAGTACTTCACTTGTCAATGCAGAGTTAAAAAAGAAAAAGAAAAAAAAATGGAATCATTCCTACAAATTATTATAATGTTAGCACTGCCCATTGTCAAAAACCATCAAGCATTTTCCATGTTATTATGGAATGGACAATACGGTGATATTGACATAAACCCAAATTAACAGGTAATGAGAAGCAAATTAATACACTAGTATAGTGATTCTCAACCAGGGTGCTGTGCCACAAGATCCTTTTAAGGCTGATGCAGGGTGGCATGCAATATTAGCACTGTTAGGTGTACAAACATGTACTCGTGATCCACAAGATAAACCCAGAAATTCCAAATAGGAATTCATAGAGTCAGAAACAACAGAAGAACTGCTCTTTTTCCATAATCAAAAAATGAATTAACGCTATGAGCTGGCATTTTCTGAGTTGCCCTAAGTCTAACGAGGGCTGCCTTGTGTCTAAAAAGGTTGAGAACCACTGTATTAGTAGACAGAGTAGGAGATGGAGTAGATTTAGTAAGCTAAAAACATTAGCCTTCCTTTCTTGATTAAGATCCTGTAGAAAATGTGAACACTATAGTAAATTTATAAATAAATCTACATGCTATCAGCAGCATAATAAAGTTCAGTTATGAACCTTACCTAATCCTATGCAGCTTGCATTTCTTTCTTCTTTTTTTTTTTTTGGTGTTACAAGTCAAAGCCTGGCTTCTCAGCTCTAACCTCATCCTCACTTAACTTCTTCCCATTATGTCCCCTGCTTACTCCCTCAAGGTCTGGCTCTTGCCTTCTTTGCATACAAGTTAGACAGCTCACCAGGCCCAGCAGGAGAAATGCTAAGGCTGGAAACAGACCTCATCTTTGTGCCACTATGAACATGCTTATGGCAGCACAAAGGCTAAGCAAACAGATGCACCACAAATACCCAACTTTGCGGCTGCAATACAGGTAGTATAAAAAATGTCTTTTCTTGCAGCAGACATCTGTTTTCCTTATGATGGGAGAGTGCAGGCAGCTGGAGCTGCCCACATTCTCCAGCTGCCCCAGGAAGGTGTTCCCAGGGTTTCAGGGACCCAATCTTATGTGCCCTAGGAATTCCCATTCCTGGGAGGCATAGGATTGGGCTCCTGAAGCCGTAGGAACACCTGTCCAGGTTACCCTGTTTGCAGAGGCATGCTCCAGAAATCTCCCAGTAGGGGATTCCCTATGCCAGTGTTTCCCAAACAGTGTGCTGCGGCACACTGGCGTGCCATCGGACACTTTCAAATGTGCTGCGGAATCTTGGGGGGGGCGTGGCTCCCGGTGCGGGGTGGCTCCAGCCAGTGCTGCCACCACTGCTCCGTGCCACCACCATGCCTCAGCCAGGCCTGCTCAGCCTCTTGGTCAGTGTGCCGTGGGATGGAAAAGGTTGGGAAATGCTGCCCTAGGCACATATCACACTGATGCACCCAACACAAAGTGCACCTTTACAAATGCAAGACCCCTGGGCATCTTCCAATTGCTGAGACACATCCTGAGAATCTCCTGCCAGGGGAATCCTGAGGGTGCACGTCTGCAAGCAGAGAACCCATCCCAGCACAGCTGATCTGCTTTATTTACTAATGTTCGTTTATAGCCAAACGATTGGAGGATGAGTCTCCCTGCTGTCAAGTTCTATGCACAAAGCCAGTCTGGCCCACAGAAGGCGGGAGCACCAACTGCTTAAATCCTGTAGTCCTTGGCTATATCATGATCAGTGGAGACAGTGTGCAGAGAATTTAAATTACAAAGATCTAATAAATGTAAACATCTACAAGCTCAATTTTCAAAGGCTTAAAAACTTGACCAAAACATGGGCAGATATTAATGGAACAGCTGAAAAGCACACCCCCCATGAAAAAGATCACTTCACCACATCAAATTTTGAAGTCCTGTTCCAAATCATAGGGAACACTGAAGCTTCGCCTGGTTTTTTTGGAGGAGGGTGTGGCAGGGCACTTGGTGGTGCCTACCACTTTAAGGGCCAGATCAAACACTCAGCAGGTGTTTGATTAGGGCGGCTATTTTAGAACTCTGCCCGCCTATATAAACAAGAGCAGTTTACTTGCTGGGAACCAGGCAAGAAACATTACCTAGCTGAGCTACTGCATGGGAACATCTTGCAGGTAGGAGCAGGAGGCTCTGGTCTTGAGCATGGCCTAAAACTGCACCCTGCCAGGAGTGGGTGGTCTGGTGGGGCTCCCAGTGGTGTGAGCGCCCCCAGGAAATGCCAGGCCAGTTACCATCCCGGTGAAAGGCAGGTAGGGGCACCTTAACCTCAGTCCTCACCTTTGGGTGGGTCATATGATCCATCTAATCCAGGGAATGCCAGGTAAGCTTCTTGAAGTGCCTGAGCCTGCTGGGGTGAATGACCCTGTGGGCCAGGCACGCTTTGTGAAGCACCTGAGCTGGGAATGAGGGACCCTGATCTGAGTGCAGGCATGTGGCTTAGACCTAACTGAGGGGCCTGACTAGTCAATGCTGGGGCCAAGACCCAGATAGGGGGAAGAAGGGCCAGGAGCCCACTGTGAGGGGTGCCCATATAGAGCAAAGAAGCTTGGGCCTGAGACTGGCCTGAGACAGGGCCAGGGCTTAAAGGGAAGCTGACGGTCCCAGGGAAGGGGCCACAGCTAATGGGTGAAGGGGACAACTGAGTTGGCTGCCTGAGATGCCATCTGTGAGGCTTGGGCTGCAGTGTAGGGGTGGAATGGAGCTGCAGATAGCCCCTACAATATTGGGGTGTATAAGGGGCGGCCTCCTGCCTAATTATCACATCAATATTATTACATCAAGGTGTGGCAGGAGAGTGAGGCGGGTGGCTGACCTGTAGACCACGGGCAAGCCGGTGCTTGCCCCAGGTATGAAAGCTTGCCCCTGTCACAGCGGGCTTTTTCTTTGTTTTTAAAGCAAAAGTATACCCCAAACAGTTAAACTGAGTAAGTTACACACCACTGAAGACAAGATCTTAATCAACAAGTTATAAATGTGGAACTGGTAGCAATACTTATTTCTCCTGCCAGTGGTGATGCGTAGAGGGTGCATGGGGGTGCATTTTCACCCCCTGAGAGTGCTGGTGCAGCCTGACAGCCAGCGTTCCCTGCTTAGGTGACAAGTGGGAGTGCTGATGCCACCCCTGAGAGTGCCAGCCAGGGAGTGGGGGCGCCAGGAGAAGCGCTGCTGGCACTTCTGGGAGCACTGCTAGCACTCCCTGCCTGCTCCCCCTCACCCCAGGAGGCACTAGTTGCCCATGTGTCTTGCAAAAAAGCCAATAGGCAGCAATTAAATTTGAGTTTATATGATGGCCTCCACCCATCACATCTTAAAAGATTGCTTCTTCACAATTAGTGTTTTATTAGTCCTATTTTTTTCTATAAAAATGATTATTTGTAGGTATATAAGACATTAGCAAGTTTAGGATTTTTCTTTAAGAAAAAGCAACTGAATTCTGTGGCACTTCAGCAAGATTCAGCTGTCTGTTCAAAAGCCCTGCAAAGTTCATTTAAAGAAAGTGTTTCATCAGAATGTTTCCCAACAGCTCTAATACATACGCTGTATATACATACAAGAAAGCTTATATGAAGGCAGGATATTCTGTTTGGAGACACTATTCAATGACTATCACCTCTGCAACTAGAAACTGCTAAAAATCTTTACTAGTCAGAAATAAAGCTACTTGTATGTCAGCTTTAACACTCATGATGACTTTATAATATATTTGGAATGAGGTCTTTGCTAATTTACAGTACTTTTTCCACTTGCCTAGAACTACTTCCCCTTCTATTCCATAACAGTGAAGAGTTAATATTTACCTGAATTAATGAACTATTGTTTTATTACATCCTCTTCTTTGCAAATGGCTTGTTCTTAACAAGAGGTCCCCTTCCCCACTTACTCCAGAAATGATGGACTGACACTTCTATCCTGTCTGTCATGTAAGACCATATCCAAAGTTAAATGAGTATTCCCTTTATCCCCTCAGTTAATAGGAGGAACGGGTGAAGAAAAAGACCCTCTGATCCTTTAGAGTGCCATTTTACTACAGTCTTCACTAGTGTAAGCATACTAGAATCCCTGTGTCCAAGTAATACTTCTGAATGACCATCTTTAGACTCTCAGAGAATCACTGCTGGCCAGTGCAACTGACTGCTTCCTAAAAAAATCATAGATGCTGGCTATCTGGACCTGTGATTTTTTTTTTCCCCCCCACAAGAGAGCAGCAGCATTCAGTCAAACCCCAAGAAATCTTGGGTGAAGGTCTCAACTGAAATGAGCTTTAACAGTACTTAAGAGTTGTCATGTGAGTGCCAGTATGAAGCCATTGCATTATTGTACCAGGGTCATTAAAAGAACCTTTTGACTCAACTTTATCTTCTCATATGAAGATGCTCTAGAATCCAGACAAAGTACCAAGCACCACAGTTCCCAAATGCATAAGTAGAACATATGGGACACAACTTCAGATACAAACTATGCAACTGTTGTAGAAATACCATATTCTTCAATTCTTACTATTGTTATATTATAAATTTTAGATGAAATTAGCATTTCAACTACATTACTGGTAGACTAAGCTATGATAGATCTAACAAAACTGTGGGGGGGGGGGAAGAATTCTAGGAGGTCTTGATTCAACAACTGCTTGTTAAATACTATATTTAAAAGCACACAATTTAACAATTTCCCTATCTGTCCAACTACCAGTACTTTCTTTAAAAATTTTTTCACATATTTTTAAAATGCACTAACAGAAGTAAAAAATTACCTCTCCAGCCTTTGCACATTCCTTGGCTCCTCTATGAAGGGCTGCCCACATATCTTCATACCTGAACAAAAAGGAAGATGAAAGTCCATTTGTAGTTATACTCTCTCTAAATTCAGATCCAATTTAAAAAGTTCTGGTGTATGTTTATGTTTCAGTTGATCACTATGTGTATACATGTAGGAGTTTAATACAAATTGTAACTAAGTAGTATCAAAAAGCCCAAGGCTAAATTGATAAAGTCTTTGCAGGTTAGTCTAAGATGTAGACATTAAACAGAGAAACAACTGGACACACATTCACTTTTGATTCAGAAAACGCAATGGCTCAGGCCAGAAGCCAGGGAGAACTAGAGCATGGCTCTTTGGCACATAGCTGGCATAGCCTGTGTGTGTGCTTCCTCATCTTGCTGCCCTCAAGGTCTCTGGAATTTTTAGTCCAGACTCACAGCAGCAGGATTCTGCAGGGTTGATCATTACTTCCTGGAAGCAGGAAAAGGCACAGGCAGGGGCTCCAGGATTTGTAGTCCACAGTTGCAGCCAGCAGTAAGTTTGAGCAGGAGGAGGATTGTTTAACGCCCCTCCATGGCCCCAACCCTCAACTCAGGTTTGCCTGGGGTGTTTCCTGCCTCCTGCCCCCCCCTCCCCAATCCCTTCTCTGCTGAAGCAGACAGCCCAGTCCAGGGCTGGAAAGCATGCTGAGATGCTGGGGGACTGTGATTTAACTTGAACCAGGAGCTGAGAGAAACAAACAGGACTCAACAGACACTGTAAATAGACTTAGAAAGTACCAGTTTAATTTTTTTTTAAATAAGCCTATAAAACTATATTGGATTAAAAATTTAACCCAAAAGCACAAATTTACAAGTTGCTTAAGTAATCTGGCAAATACCTCCTGAAAAAAAAGAGGAGGTAATTGAGCTTTGACAAAGAACTATATTGAACTAAAAAATATCAAATGTTATATCTAAAATATGTTGTATTTACTATTCCTATGAGCATTAGCAAATTCCACAACCAAAGAAATAACTAAAAACAAACTCAAACCATTTCATAAGCGCTGCTTGATTTTATAAGTCAGATACATTTTTAATTTCTCCATCCAGTTGTTACTAAGACTTTAAGATTCTCTTGGTAACAGGATGCAAAAACCATGTTGGATAAAAATAAGTGAGTGCCAAGTAATTTGATCCCCAAAATTACAAATCTAGGGGGAAAACAAGGACATGGAAGACCTGTTCTTAATCTTTACAGTGCCAATTCAGGGATGCGGCTACTACAATTAAGAGGCACTATGATTAAAGACAAGAAAGTAATTTAAGACGGGAGAAAACAAGAAACATGGTTCCTTCTGTTGTAATTTCTTCTGTATGCTTCTGTAGACAACTTTCAACTGAGAATGGGGATTCTCTCACCACTAGGTAAAACCAAAATGAATTATTCCCACCACTAACTGAAACCATTTATACATGGACAATGGAATTTGATTTAAAGATGTGGCAAGTCCTGTTTGATTTAATATACATTTCTTACCACTAACTCTTGAAGTTAAGTAACTGCAATGAAATACTATGAAACCAAAGAAAGAGTTTATCCTGGTTACTTAAAAATAGATATTCAACAGTCCTAAACCAAGCAAACTAATAAATATTAGCGCTCTTATTTAAACTAAATTCCACTGTTAGCTAGCGTTAGCTTATGTCCCTTCCGCAGGGGTATATGGTCTCAAACATGGGATGTAATGGAGGAAGCTGTTAACATTTTGAATCATTACAAGGTTTTTGGTTATAGCCATGCTGGTCTAAGGACATAGGCAGGTAAGCTTCTTTGGGCAGATTCCTGAAGAAGGGTGCTTGTGCCCAAAAGCTTGCAAATAAGCTTTTTTCCAACTACTCAGTTACTCTAATAAAAAATAGATATCGGGTATCCAAAGAACCTTGCCTTGAATCACTACAGGGTTTTAATATACTATAGTTTTACTTCAAGAAAGAGATTAACACTAATTTTTCAGCAGTGTGTGGGTTTTTTTGTTTTGTTTTTTTTACAAAGTCCATTTTTACCAGTTATGCACAAGTCCAAGTTACTAGTTGTGCTCTTCAAACTGAGAAACAGGAACAGAATTTCTCCTGGTTTGCTCAGTTTAGAGACTTATATTCTTTCATGATTTTACTTAGAATATTTACTCACATACCACACATCCCTTTTCACCCCAAAGCAAACCTCCAAAATTGGGGGTGGAGTGGAAGGGGTGCCTGAAGTGAAGAAGCTGATATTTTTGGTGCTAGAAGCTAAAAGGAATAGACAGTGCAGCATGCAGACAGTGGCTGCTACTTCTCTCTGGCTACAGCAAACAAAAGGGGAGGAGTTCTATGTGAATCCTCTAACAGTCCCCAAGGAATCTGCACTAGCTATTAGCTTAATATTGCAGCTTGTACCTGAAGCAGCAACTGAGCTGCTTCAGGGCAAAGTGAACTGCTCCATGCAGTCTCTAGTATCCCAATGAGGCTTGTGGTGTGAAAACTGCACTTAATTATTTACAGGAACTTATACAAAGAACTATTTATAGCGGGAACATTAAACATGCCTTGTACTCTGGCCTGGATCCATCCAGAGACATATGGCAGCTCTGCCTCTGACCCAGGGCATGCAGCAGCAGCACCACCATCTATAACTCTGGCATGGCACATGTGGAGCAGCTTCAGATCCCACCATGTACTCGGTGCCATAGGCGAAGCTGCCACCAGACATGCTCCAGCAGCAGCTCTAGCTCCACTGCAGGGAACATGGTGGCAGCTGAGGAGCTAGGGGCAACAGTAGTGACAAAGGACAAAGCGGTTGGAGGGCAACTGGAGCATCAGCCCTCACTTGCCTTTCTGCTGCTGACGGCCATGTTCATCAGGACCCAAAGATCCTGAATTCTGCAACGGGCCATGCCCGCTAACTCCCTGTGGCCCACCCCCAGCTAGATGGAACAATTTTGCAACCTGGACCTGACCCACAGGCAGGGTGCAAATTAAGGGGGAGCTCAGGGGGGCTGAGCCTCCCCCATAAGAGATGATAGCCCCCCTGTAAGATTTAAAAATCAACTGGGGGTGTCTCCAATCAGACTACTTCTTCACTTACGTGGACTTGTTAATCAATGAACTGGTTTAATTTATTGTTTTTTTATTTCTTATTTTTTTTGCAGACCTCCTGCCCCCAAGAGTTGACTCCATGAGTGTAATTCGAACCCTATCTACAGGCCACGTTCAACCCTTTCAATTTACAGTAAAGAAGTCAGTCTTGCAGAGATGGGAGGAAAATGATTCTCAACCAGAGTGCCAGGGCACCCTGGGGTGCCACCGGATCCTTTGAAAGATGCCACAAGGTGTGAGCAGATGAGCAGACAATCTAAGCAGGTAAGACAGGTTCAGGCTTGTCCCTGCCTGGACAATCTCACAAACATCTTCCCGCCCCTCCCACTACCCTGTGTAAGGAGGTCAATATAAATTATAAAAATTGTACATTAGTTTTTGAAATTGTGTGCCATTCAATTCAAAAAAGTTATGGAGGGGTGGCTAGAGTTCTCAACCTTGTTGGACTCGAATCTGGGATCAATTCTAGCTGTTGTCCTGCCACAGCACGAAGTTCCTGCAGACTGTATCCTGGGATGCCACTCATCCTGGGCATTCTGTGCCACACAGCCATGACTGGAAACATTTGTTTGTCTACAATCTGCCTTCCAAAAAACAAGGTGCATAGATTTCATAGACATCAGGGCTGGAAGGGACCTCGGAAGATCATCGAGTCCAGCCCCCCGCCCAAAGGGCAGGAAGTCAGCTGGGGTCATAGGATCCCAGCAAGATAAGCATCCAGTTTCATCTTGAAGGTGTTCAATGAAGGCACTTGAACCACCTCCGGTGGCAGGCTGTTCCAGACCTTGGGGGCTCGGACAGTAAAGAAATTCTTCCTTATGTCCAGCCTGAAACGGTCTTGTAGTAGTTTGTGACCATTCGACCTCGTCATCCCTTGGGGCGCTCTGGTGAACAAACGTTCCCCCAGATGCTGGTGGTCACCCCTGATAAACTTGTAGGTGGCCATCAGATCACCCCTGAGCCTGCGCTTTTTCAGGCTAAAGAGCCCCAGGGCTCTCAGCCTGTCATCGTAGGGTCTGCTTCCCTGACCTCTGATCATGCGTGTGGCTCTTCTCTGGACTCTCTCAAGCTTCTCCACATCCTTTTTGAATTGTGGAGCCCAAAACTGGACACAGTACTCCAGCTGCGGCCTCACTAAGGCCGAGTACAAGGGGAGAATGACGTCC